GTTTTTAATTCTTAATGACTCCTTAACTATGAATTGTGAATTCATTGATTTAAGAAAATACAGAAAAAAAAGGAAAAAATTTTACTTTACTTGCAAAAAAAAAAAAAATGAAAAAAGAAATAAAAAGGAAAAATTTTTTTATGAAACAAGTTTAATTTTTCTTTTTGAAAAGTCAAAAAAAAAAAAAAGCAGAAAACAAAAAAAAAGAAAAAGAAGGAGGTTCAAAATGAAAAAATAAATGTTTTACTCTTTTTTTTTTTTTTTTTAAATTGAAAACTTTTTAAACTATCTTATTTACTTTTAAATATAACATTCAATAAACTCTTATCATTCTTTTTTTTTACCTTACAAAGAAACAACAAACGTTGGAAGTTATGAAAAAAATTCATTTATTCAATTACAATTCACTGACTTAAATATAAAAAAAAAAAATCCTTAAATATGAATCATGTCTACCATTTTTACATTATTTTCTATTTTTTTTAAAATGGCTACCAAACTCACTTTATCATTTTCAGTTTAAAGTTTTATTAAAAATAAGATAATGAGTCAAATTATTCATTTTTTTTTTTTTTTGTATGCTTTTCCAAAAAGAAAAAAAAAGTTGAAGAAAATTAATGTAAAAAATTTTTTTTTCTCATTTATATATTTTAAAAACTAATTAAAACTTTATTAAATTTTTTTCTTTTTATCAGGTGTAAAAGTTTTCAAAATGCAAAAAGAGGTGAAGTTTGTAGGATACCAATACCAGGTTGTACAGTTGCACCACCTTCAACACCAGGAGGACCAGCACCCATAAGACTGCCACACGTTCAAGGAGATATTTTCAGAAAATTCATTCTATATGTTTATACGGGAAAAATAATGTTACAAGACAATGCAGTTTTTGAAATGTTAAGTTTGGCACAAGATTTAGGGGTTGAAGAATTAAGAACGACTTGTGAGGATTATGTAACTTCTACTCTCTCACCCTTAAATGCTTCAACGTTTTTAGCAGCTGCTATGGACATACAGGAAAGAACTGCTGGTAAGTAGAATAAATAAATAAAAAAAAAAAAACAAAAAGAAAAGGATTTTAAATTTTCCTACCGTTTTACTTAAAATTTAAACCGTCACTCACTCAAAAAAAGAAAATAAACAAGGTTTTCTCACAAGTTCCCGCCAAAAGTTTATGAAACCTTACTATATAAAACATATTTCTTTTAATTTTCATTTGTTTATCAGACACATAAAAAAGGATTCTCACGACCATAAAGCAAAGTTTTCATTTTTTTTATTAAATATTTCATTGATTTTTATTTTTTGGTAGTGCATGATTTGTTCAAAACGAATATTAAAACCTTTTTACCTAATTTAAAACTTTTAATCTTTACAATTAGATAGACTATAAATAACCTTAAAATTATGTTTATGTCGTTACAAATTCTTTGAAATTTTAATTTTAAAATTTCATTACAAAGTATAAAAATTTTTACGAAAGCTTCCCTAATTTTTATAGTTGAAAAAAGGTTCATTGAAATATAAGTGAAAGTACAGATTGAAATCATTACAAATTGATTACATTGAAAATATTTTAAATAAACCACCTCATGACGAATAAAAGCGATTTCAATGTTTAAAATCCTTAATATATGTGTTTACAACAAAAAATAAGATTAAAAGATTAGTAAAAGCCGGTAATAAAAAATTTAAACTTACTAATTTATCAGCCCCAAACAAATGCTTCTTTTTCTTACAATTACTTAAAGTACGTTACATCAAAATTTTAAAACACAAATTTTCACGAACACAATTTAAACGTTTAACTTTTTGTTTTGAATGCTGTGTAAAAATATTGTATAAACTCTCGTAAGTTTTATGTATTACATTAGACGCCATGTTTAAACGGCAGCCATTACTAGATCGATTTACCGGAACTGTAAAAAGTTGAACAGTCGCCACAACAAGCGCCATTTTCCTCGTGTAACAAACCGGCGTTGTTTACTAAAATCGGTGCATTGTTATTTTTAATTATTTTTTGTCGTTTCGTTTAAGTGTGAGAAATTTATTTTTAAAAAATGGCGTACAAAGGACCGGCAAAAGTTCAAAAGGTTATGGTACAACCGATAAATCTTATATTTAGGTATTTGCAAAATCGGTCAAGAGTACAGGTAAGTGATTATTTATGTTACTTTTTTTTTTGAATATTTTTCATAACTTTTGTAAAAACAAAATAAAATTGTAAAACTCCAATTGCAAATAACTAATAATTACAGTATTTTAAGAGGATTTTTAATAATGAAATTAAGTATTTATTTAATACATTATTATTAAATAACCTAATCTTGTCAAGTTGGTGAAGAATTTCCTCAAAATAATTTTTTTTTATTTTCTAATTTAATGTTTAATGTCTTTTAAGGTTTGGATTTATGAAAATATAACTACTAGGATAGAAGGTCACATTGTTGGTTTTGACGAATACATGAACCTTGTCTTAGATGATGCTGAAGAGTTTAATATTAAAACGAAAAACAGAAAAGAACTTGGAAGAATAATGATGAAAGGAGATAATATTACATTGATACAAAGTCTAGATTCGACAAATAGTTCTGGTTGAATTAGAGTTATAAGTTTAAACACTAACAGACAGTTATTAAAAAATTACTTTTTTTTTTTTTTTTTACTCGTTTAAATAAAATAATGCTGTGAAGTTAGTAAGCATTACGATTTAAACTTTATGCAGTCGAATATCTGCATGCATATATTTTTTTTTAAAACAAATATTTGATTATAGAATATAAGGAAATAGAAGTGAAAGTGAATATTTGTCAGTATGAAGAAGTATCAAAAACTACAACATGTATAATGTAAAAGTTCTATACATTACTATCTTGATTAGTTAAATTATTTTGTACAATTATTTTTATTAATAATTTTGTGATAATACCTCTAAATTGTTTTAATATGTAATAAAACAATAAATAAAGATGATAATTTAAAAATTAGTTTTAAGTGTGATTGTTTCAATTTGTTTTTTGTTAATTCCTATAAAGTTTATTAATTTTTCTAAGTTAAATGTCTCACAAAAAAAAAAATTTTTTTGTTTTTTGTTTAGGTGGTAAATATACAAAATCATTTGTCGACAGATGCATTGCTTATGTTGGAGAAAATGCAAATGAATGCGTACAAACAAATTCATTTTTAACACTTCCTAAAGATGCACTTATTAAATTAATATCTTCCGATTCTTTCGCTTTGGAAGAAGAAGATGTTTGGAGGGCTGTATTAAATTGGGCAAAATATCAAGCAGGTGTCACACAACCAACAGCCCACTGGACCGAAGAAGAAAGAGTTCGCGTTGGTCAACATTTAAATGGTGTAATTAATCACGTTAGATTATTACTAATAGGTAAAAAATTGTTTTTTTTTAAATTTTTAAAGTTGGTAGTAATTTTTTAATAACATGGTTAACTGCCGTTAATAATAAAATTCTGTTATAATTTTTTTTGTCTTTTTTTGATTTTAAGATAGTCAAGTATTTGCTGAAGAAGTCGAACCTACTGGTGCTGTACCGATAGAACTGTCACTGGAAAGGTACAGATATGCGGCACTACCTAATAAATTTAAGGAAAGAAGCGAAGATAAAAGACTTCAACCTAGAGTACCTCTTAAATTATTTAACGGTTCACAAATCCTCGTCCAAGATAAAATAAGATTTCAAAGAGTATTGAATTCATGGTATAAGGTTCCTAAACAAAGTTGGCGTCTACTCTACAGAGCTTCGACTCACGGTTTTTCTGCCGAAGCTTTTCACCGTCATTGTGATGGAATCGCTCCTTTATTTGTCATCGTATTAGTCAGTACACTACATTTTTTCTGATTATTTTCGAATTTAAATTTCATAAAGAAATTTATAAAAAACAATTAATTTTATTTCAGGGTGCCCGAGGTGACATTTGCGGGGGTTTTACCGACGTTCCTTGGAATAAAACAGGTTCTAAAAGTCATTATATACCTTCGGACAAAGCTTTCTTGTTCAGTCTTGTTAATAATTTAAATTATCCTCCAATAAAATTTAGTATTGTCAAAAAGCCATTTGCAATTTGTTATCATAAAGAGTAAGAAATTCTCAATCAGTTAAACAATTTATGTAATTTTTATTATATTGAAATTCCAAATGAAAAATTTTCTTTTTCCAGCTGTGGACCTATTTTTGGAGCTGGAGCTGATTTTCTTATAAGTAGTAATTGCAACGTAAATAAAGATAGTTATTCAAACTTACCACATTCTTACGATGGCGATTTTGCTTCTACGAGTATTTTAATGAGCGATTATTATTTCACGGTCGTAGATTATGAAGTTTTTACAACTGCATCTAAATAAAAATCTATTGTTTATTAATCATTAATAATTTTCTTAGATTTAAATAAAAAAAATGTTAAATTTATTTATTTTTTAATAAACGTTTTTTTTATACTGCTATCAATAAAATATTTTTAATTTATTTTATTTTTTTTGAGCATTTTAAAATACGTTATAAATATGAATAGTCCACGAAGTTGCAACTCATTATTATTAATGATAATATTTGATAGTTTTTTTTTAAGTGAATTTCATAAACTCGCTTATTTATTTATTAATTATTTTCTTCCGAATAAAATATTAAAATATTTTTCACGAGTTTTAAAACAGTTTTCATAGAAAGACTCAAAGAAATAAAATAACAAAAAGAAAGAAATTGTTTCCGTTTTATACATTCACAGGTAAAAATTTTAGTTCGTAAAATTTCCACCAGGTGGAACATTATTCTCAGTACATGTGTCCTTAAATTGTCCTTAAAGAGAAAAGTTTCAGATTTGATGTAAATGATACTTTTTTTTTTCTTCTTCTTATCCTTTATAATTTCTAATATTAATAATATAAAGTTTAATATTTTAAATCAATGGCATATTTCACAATAAAAAAAAAAAAAAAACAGTTTTTGAAATGAATAATATTTTAATAGGATTTAAAATCATATTAATATCATTTAAACCATTGTTTATAATCACAGTATCAGAATACTTATTAAATAAGTATATATAAAAAATAGTATAGTTTTTTTTCCTTTCGAAAACACCCCATAAAAAAAGGATTAAAATAGATTTGGATGTATGTACACATTTCCAGTTTTTTTACAAACGTGGTAAAAATTACTATTGCATAATATTTTAATATTTTGCACAAATATACAAAGAGAGAGAGAGAGAAGGAATTATATTTACTTATTGTTGTGCAATGCATCAAAGGTATGGTAGGTATGGGTAGGTAGGTAGGTAGGTAGGTAAAAGGTGGTTCATTAACACGTTATTAGGCAATTGAAATTATTGTGGTAAATGTCAATAAATTATATGCAAAATTTTTACCCGAATAATATAGGGAGAAAAAAAAAAACAAATTCAAGGATGTAAAAAAAAAAAAAATAATAAATATTATTAGTTGTAGAAATAATAATAATAATTATTTTTATTCTTTGGACTCTCTCTCTCTCTCTCTCTCACTCAAAGTTTACCCAACCGTATGTTATTAAACATAATGAATTTAATTAGAAATTTTTACCTACAAGAGAAATTTCAAATTTTACAAATCGTTTTGTGAGATAAAAATGGACAATTTGAATATCATTTTACGAAGAATCCTAAAATAATAATAGATGATTTAAAATACACATGTACATATAAAAAATCCGACATTAAAAAATTTATAATGCATAAAAGTAAAGACGATACACACAATACGAAACACAATACAAAAAAAAAAAACATGTTGAAAAACTATTAAAAATTTCATTGGATAAAAAATCATAAGGCATTAATAATAATAATAATAATAATAATAATAATAATAATAATAATAATAATAAAATTCCAACATGTGAGTATCGTAAAAAATAAATTTTTTCAATTACTGTAAAAAATACTGACCATACAGGAAACCATTTTAAAAAAAAATACCTATTAAAAAAAAATTATTAAAAAAAAACCATCATGGAGTAAATATCACACGAATAACGAAATAACATTTTTTCTATTTTTTTTTTTATAAAAATACTCAACCGAAATAATAATAATAATAATTGATTTTAAAAAAAAAATCCATTATTGAAAATGATTGCATTTTCCTCACAACAAATAAATAAATAAATAAATAAATAAAAATTAATTAAATAAAATCGTAAACATTTAAAAAAAAAAAAAAAAAAACCGGATATTTAAAATATTGAATTTTTTTTTATTAGTGATTTTAATACCTAAGTAAAATAATTATGGTTAATGTTACGTGAGATTTAACACGCGAAAAAAAAACGATCCGCCATTATTATTATTATTATTATCGTTCTTATTATTATTATTATTATTACTTGATTAATTTTATCGTTCTTTTGTTTTGTTTTTGCGATTTCCTCAAAAAGTTGTACGTTAGTAATAAAAAATCAATTTAAAACGTTTAATAAATTATTATTTTATTATTGTTATCGATAACAAAAAGATAATAATAATGATAATAATTTATTAAAATCGAACCTTGTTTTACTGTTACGATTCCTAATGTTGAACTTACACACGCACACACACACACACACATAGGAAAAATTTTATTATTTTCTTACCTTGTTCTTTTTTTTCTAAGGTTTTGACATCAGTAGTAAAAATTCCATCGAGTCGTTTTTTTTATTTTTTGACCCTCAGGTAGTACTTTGTACCTTAAACAAAACATTTTTTTGTTAGTTAATATTATTAAAAATATTAAATTTTGATCTCATTTTTTTTAACAAAGAAAGAAAGAGAAAATAAGAGAAAAAAGAATTTTTTTTCATTTACTTTCTTTTCTAAAAAAAAAAAAAAAAACAAATTATTATTATTATTATTATTATATATTAATAACAATGAATAAATAAAAAAAAATATGTAATAATTAACATTGATTTAATTATAGTGTTTAAATGTTTACGTAACTAAAAAAAAAATATATATATAAAATCTATCATTAAAAGTATAATGCTTTTTTTTATTAAAATTTATACACGTATATATAATAAATCATGAAAATAACACCTTAAAAATATATTAAAAAACCTTATTATTATTATTATTATTATTATTTGCCAAAGGCTAATTTATAACTCGAAGGGATTTATTTAATAAAAAATTATTATTATTATTATTATTTTTTACGCCAATATAAATTAATCGACATTTTTAAAAACTTTTTCTTTTTTTTTTTTGTTAGAATTATTTTTTTAAAATATTTATTACGCGTTAAAATAATAATAATAATAATAATAATAATAATAATAATGAAGTTTTTTATTAAATAATTTTGATTTTATTTTTATTAAAATTAAAACTTTTAAATAAATATTAAATGTTGTAATGAGTGAAAATTCGTGACGTCATAAAAAATTTATGTAAAGATTTTTTTCTAATTATGTAGTTGTGATAGAAATAAAACACAATTTGTTTTTGTTTTGTTTTGTTTTGTTTTCCGTCAAGTTTTTAAAAAAAATGTTTTCCAATTTTAATATATTAACTTAACAAAAAAAAAAAAAAATTAATTTCCTCTCACTATGGCAAAAAGGAAAAAATAAAAAAAAAAAATGGCGAACATTATTTATCCTGTTTAAATTTCCTTTCAAACATTTTTTGTTTAAATTTAATTAGCATTAAATGAATTTGTTTTAAATAAAAAACAAATTTTAATCGTCATTATAAAACAATACGATAAGTTCATCGACCTCCACCCCGTCCCATCCCACCTTCATCCCCATCCCACGTGATATTTATTATTATTATTGTGATATATACAATTTAATAACGATGTGGAAAAACATTTTTTTTTGTTTCACATTAAGAAAAATCTATTCTCGTCTGGTAGATATTTTGATCCGGTACATAAGGAAAAAAGAATAGATATGGCTTTTAAATATTGAGGACAGTTAATCTCACCTCTCCTTTTGCCTCTGGACAATTTCAACCAGTGGCACCACGAGACCATCATCTTTCAACCGGTTTGTTAACTTATACTCTGACTCTTTGCTACTCATATATATATACTATTCCCTCATCTTTGATTCTTTTCTTTTTTTTTTTTTTTAACCTCGTCTTCTTTTAACTAACATTAAAATTAAATTTTTATTTTATACCTGATGTATATAAATAAGGTACGTTAAGAAAAAAAAAAAAAATTTTTTCCCCCCATTTCGTGTAGTGATGTAAAAAAAAATCGATCGATACAATTTTGGAAAATTCGCAAAGAATTTCCTGTTACTGAAAATTTGACCGGTAATAAAACCTGTAATAAAACCGCAATTTAAAAAAAAAAAAATCACGTTTAAATTCTTTCGAAGTCTTTACTAATAACCTCTCACATACCTAAACATATTTTTTATTAATAAAATAAATAAAATGTAATTATTATTTTTATTCAAATTCAACACGAGAGGAAGAAACAGTTTTATATCGTGGATTTAAATATATGTACATAATTTAACAGCAACACGAACGCGAGAAAATTATTATTATTATTATTATTATTATTATTTAGTAAATTGGATGACGCCTCAAATTTTCATTATCACGTACTATATATATATATAGTCTATACGAATATACAAACACGCTATAACATCTATCATTTTAACTACGTTCGAAATTTTTTTTTTTTTTTTGTGTTTAAGAACAAAAATGATTGCCAAGTCATTGTCATTAGTTACTATTATTATTATTATTATTATTTTTCATTTACTTAATTATTTCGACTTGTAAAAAAAAAAAAAATAAATAAATAAATAATTTTTTTATATGAATAAAAATATGATTTATAGTTTTTAATATTAAAAAAAAAAATTATTATTAGTGATAAGTTTAATAGTAAATTTTTTTCTTTTATTGTTTGAAAAAAGTTTAGGTGCCACGTTATTATATAGAGATTTGCACGTGCACACGCACACACACACACACAGACAGATACATGCGGTATTAAAATATAAAATAAATACGATAAAGTGAAAGAAAGAAAGAAAAGTGAGGGGAAAAAAATCAAAACCCGAATTCATTTCCTCCGATAAAACCACAAATTTACCGTAGAATCGATAATGATGATAATAATAATAATATATAAATATATATCGGTCAGAGGGATTTAAAAGTATATCAAAATAATATAATTTTTTTTTTTTTTTTTTTGATAAAAGTAAAAATAATGCCGCCATCATCAATTTTACACCTAATCAGGAAGTAATAAAAAAAAAAAAAAATGGAGGGAAAACTTGTTTTCTTTCTTTCTTTCTCTTTTTTTTATTTTCTTTTTACTTAAATTCTAAAGTGTTATTTATTATTAGGGTCGAAAATTACTACCCTGAATGACTGACTGAATGACTGACTGACTGACTGACTTTTTATTTTTGTTTGTCATTCTTTTTTATATCGTTACTTTTCTCTCTCATAAAGTGTGTCGTCGTTTTACGTCATTTTAAAAGAAAATTTACCAACAACGAAATGAAAAAAAGGAAATTACTCATTTGTTTATAAAAATTTACAAAAAGTGAGGATGTTATGATAATTTTTTTTTTATGAAACAATAATTTTATGTTTTTTTTATGAAATCGTTTAGTATCATATAATCCTATCGACGAATTCATAAAAAATTAAAATATGCTGTTAAGTTTTTTTTTTTTTTTATAAACCCTAACGAGTATCATTCGACATAATAATTTAAATATAAGAAAAAATATTTCATTAAAGTGCAAAACAATAATAATAATAATAATAATAATAATAATAATAATGT